GGAACAGGCAGTGGGGGAAGGGACAGGCAGTGGGGGGAGGGACAGGCAGTGGAGGGAGGGACAGGCAGTGGGGAGGAGGAACAGGCAGTGGGGGAAGGAACAGGCAGTGGGGGGAGGGACAGGCAGTGGGGGGAGGGACAGGCAGTTCAGCCTGCAATTGTCACTGGGGTGGGCCAGGCACGCAAGGTCAGGGCGGTGCGTTAAAAGCACAAGGAAATCAATCTCATTACTTCAGAACCAACTTGGTTTTCCCCCTAAATCTATACCCAGACTTAGTGGGCTGGGCTCTAAGTGTTTTTCTGAACGTGCAAATTAAATTTCCCCTAAAGAAGGAAAAGTTACATCCCTGAGAATATAGTCAATGATATTGTAATAACTATGTACAGTGTCAGGTGGGTAATAGGCTTATTAGGGTGATCACTTTGTGAGGTGTATAACTATAAATGTCTAATCACCATGTTGTCTTGTACACCTGAAACTAATAAAAAAAAAAAGTCGCACCCCTGAAGAAGTTAAAAAGTCGTCCAAAGGAAATTCCAAAGAACATATGTTAGAAATGTTCCGAGCGATTTCAGCATCACCAGAGTTGGTGCCCCACCTCGAATAGCTCCTTTTCTGAGCAGAGAGTTTGACTTTGGCCTTAAGCTCTGTGTGTGCTTGTTAAAGATCTTCACGTTCCTACAGGATTTCGTTGTCTTGGCTTGCCAAGCATGAATTGCATTTTTATATCTGATTTTACATTGAGGAATCCGGACTCCCTCCTTTTTTTTTTTTTCTATTAGAATATGTAAATATCTTTCTCAACTAGGGCTTTAACCCTTTGTGCCAGGTATCAAGCCTAGTGTTTGCACATAATAGATGTCCAGCAAACCTAGGTTGCTGACTCGAGTGTTAACGTGTGTGGCCTGGGAAGGCAGCCCACAAGTTCTTCAACTCCTCAGGCTGGAAACTGGCCCAATGCTGTAGGGTCAGTGGTAGGGGCCAGAGCTGTTGCATCAGCTGCTGGGATAAGAAGCTAAGGCATCTTATCTTGTTTACAGAGTGAATGCCTTCAGTTTGGGGATCACCCACTGCCCTTCTGATAGCCCCCTGTTTCTTCAACTCTCTGCCCTGTGCAGCTCACAAGTTTATCTCTTCTCCCTTCTAACCAGTCTGATCCACTTTCATTTACGATACCATCTGTTTACATCTCCCAATACTAGACTACCGGTAAACAAGAGTAGCTGCCATTTTAGTCAATGGCCATATGTGAGTGCTTTTCATAGCATCTCTTGTTGTCACAGCAACTGCAAGGTAAGGACTGTTATTCCCCATTTATCAATGAGGATAAAACTGAGTCTCAGATTAAGTAGCGTCTCCATTTTTGAAGTTATGTCTGCTTGACTCCCAAACCTGGATTTTCCTTCTATACTGTATGCTTTTCTCCCTTTCTTTATTTTATTCCATATAAGATGCGTCTGCCCCCATCTTCCCACCCCAGATTTGGTGGTATTATCTGTGGTCCATATGTTTTGAGTAATAGCAAAACTGAAATGTCCAAATTGAAAATATGCCATTTTATGAAGTGTCTCACTAACACATCGTGTTTATTTGACGATCCTGTCATTCATATTTGTAATGATGTCTCCACATCTATTGCTTAATAGTATACTTTTTTTTTAGATTAAGTTGGAATAATTTGGGCTAAATTTGAATTGGAAAAAACACAGTGTCATTGTCCTTGTGAGTCCATTTCACATGGTTTCGAAGAATTGTTCCTCATGTCTGCTATGGACAGATGTTTCTTGGCTTATGATGGGCCTATGTCCTGATAAAGCCATCGTAAGTTGAAAATATTGTAAGTTGAAAATGCATTTACTACACCTAACCTGCCGAACATCACAGCTTAGCCCTGCCTACCTTACATGTGCTCACAACTCTTGCCTTAGCCTACAGTTGGGCAAAACCATCCAACACAAAGCCTATTTTATAGTACAGTGTTGAATGTCTCAGGTAATTTATTATGTGTATCGCTTTCACACCGTCGAAAAGTCCAAAAATCACAAGTCGAAACGTCGTAAATCAGGGACTGTTTGTAGTTTGAAAACTTAAGCTTTTGGGGCTTTTCCAATTCTCGCTCTAGACACTTTCTGTTCCTGCTTGTTGGCGCTTGTATTTCACAGAGTCGTGAATGCCTTTCATGGCTTATGCATTTTTCAGACAGCTTACCTTTTCGTCACCACACCTCAGTGATGGCACTCATAATACATTCCAAACAGTCACTCCACTTCAAGTGGTTTTTGTACCATGAAGTCACTGAAATGAAGCCGCAGACAAGGTGTTAGCATTTGTGAGGGGTGAGCCAATGCCAATTAAGATTCCTGAGAAGGCTCAGCTGTCAAATCGTTGTCAGTGCTGCTTTCGCCAGGGCAGTGACGAGGAAGGCGCCTCAGGTGGGGATGGGACTCCACTGGCATCCGATGGGCTACACTAACGCGACAAGTCTGATGGCTCTATGTCCTGCAGCCCTTTCCTAGGCACAGTATCAAGGTGCCCACAAAAGCGAGGCCAGGCTTTGGAAAGCTGATGCCTCGGGAAGGAAAGTAGGGTTTGCACCAGAGGGGTGAGTGCCAAACGTGTGATGGGGAGCACGGAGAGGGGGCACCCCTTGTCAGTCACTGCCACTCTTGGGCCTGAACGGAGAGCCCACATGCTAGCTCAGAAGAATGTAGTGTGACAGATGTGTAGTCATACCTGCCACGGCTCTCCAGGACAGTGGAGGATTGTTTTAATCCCTGTTGCTCATGAGTCACAGGGGTTTTCAAGACCCTAACACCAACATGAAAGAGCTCTAACGATGTCTTCAAAGTCCTTCTCAGATCATCATGCCATGTTTGTGATGTCCAAAGTTATAAAATTCGTCAGTAGAGATTTGGACTAAAATGACTTGGGCTCATCAGCAATTTGTGGCAATGCAGGGCGCTTGGTTCTGAAAATAGAACAAAAACGCACGTCCAGTCTGTTCTTAGCTCTTCTGGTTAATCATATTCTGAGAAAGCCTGGGTGGTTGTTGAGGTCCTTTGAGGGTAAACGACAGGAATGTCTTAGAAGCATCGATATCTCAGCAGCCTCCCCATTTCAATTCATTAAGCCCATGTCTTTTTTCTTTGACCAACAGATGTCCCCAATTAAGCACCCATCAGACTCTTGCAATGGAGAGAAGCTGAGAGAAGGGAGATAGAGAACCCCTCTTTTTGGAGATCTGTTTGCTTTTCAAACCAGTGAAGAACATCTTAGGAAAGTTTAATTTGGAGACCCCGCTATCAAACTTCAGAGTATTAAATGTATCTCACGATTGGTCTAGCATCTACACATATCTCTTTACCTACTACATTACATTTTTAGAGGGAGATGACCTTCTGGTGACTTCATCAACTGTATAGGAACTCACCTGGAGGAGTTACCTGGTGGCATGACCTAGCAAAAGTCCTCTCTTTGGGCTTGATCCTGGCATCACAATTAGCCCCTCTTTTGATGGCTTCATTTCTACCCTGCAGAAAATGGGTTGACAGAAAACTCCCATCACTCTGTAAAGGAGTTTCAAAATGACAACTGAAGCCTGTGAGAAAATGAGAATTTTTGTGACTTTTCCTCAGAAGGTTAGATTATTTTAGAAAACTGAAAAATAACTTTGGAGAAAAGGGTAGAAAAGTTGGGGACCAAGTAAATTCAGGTGAGTTTTCCTGGATCTATTACTTGACATATTGGAAATTGGATATCAGGTACAAAACTACATAAACAATATTTTTATATTGCAAAGACGATATAACAGTGTTCCATAAAATAAGGAGTATAGGATAAGAAAATATCATGGTCCCACAACACAAGCACCCTCTTCCTTTATAAGCAGTCCCTGGCATTCTTCACCCGCCCGAGGACATGCGTGTTGGCATGCTGAACAATTTTGGAGCCTGTAACCCTCATGTGCACTATAGATCAATTTTTCCATGTCGTGCAGTTGTCTCGATTGTTATAAATCTTGAAGGATGCAAATATTCTACCTGGCGATGAACCGGCTTTCTATCCCTAGTGCTGGGTGGACGGCAGGTGCTCCGTAAACGTTCGTTTAACAAAAGGAGACCCAGGTCATCTAACAAAACCATTTTTGCCATGGATGGAAAGAAAAGGGGCTGTAGGGATTTTGGAGTTTGTCAGTGTTTCTCATTATCTTTCTCTTACCCACCATGCTCAGTGTCACTGGTGTGACTGCAGCGAACTTTGGGAGGCTGAAAAAGGAGGACAGACTATACTGGCATACTTTGTACCCAAGCAACCCCTTCATTTTTTGAGGGACGGCACAAAAGGAGAAGGCCCATCCAGAAGACGTGGATTTCCAATGTGGCGCCTGCCAGAACTTTGTCCACGAACTAGAATTTTAAAACTTGAGTTGCGGTTAGAGTTTCCTTAACACTTCAGCAAAAACTGGCTCTCTGGTGCTGCATCGATCTGATCGGCTCAGCTAAGTGGGCATGGGCCCCGGATGGTCAGGGTGCTGTACCATCAGTTTAGAGTCTGGGGACTAAATGGGCAGCCATGGAGAATGGTTTTAAAAGAAAGGACCAGAAAGAAAACAGGACCTCCCCGGCCTCTTGAGACTCTGGGTGTCTGTTGCACAGTGAGGGCCAAGTTAGAATGCCTTTACCCTCTGATTCCTTTCTGAGTGCTCAAAAACTTACGTTGAGATCAAGCGTTTTCTCTTTACTTTCTTTCATCCCTTCTAGCCTGTAACTAGAACATCTCTGACACTCACCTTTAGAGTGGACCACAAGAAAAGATCACAGGTTGTGTTGGGAAGTACAGGGCATTGGGGACCCCAAAATGCCTCTTGCTTTTCCATGTACCAGGTAGAGCTTTTGAACAAGCAGTGGCTCAGGAGAGGTGGTGGGTCACCTGCCTTGAGTCTCAGCGGTGTCTGCTTTCAGCCTGTAACCCTGGTGTGTTCTTTGCCGAATGTCTTCACAGGAGCCATCAACTTCCTGCGCTCTCTCCTGGAACCTGATCCTGTGAAGAGGCCCAATATTCAGCAGGCACTGGCCAATCGCTGGCTTAATGAGAATTACATGGGCAAAGTGCCATGTAATGTCACCTATCCCAACAGGTAATCAAGTGCACACAACAGAGGGACCCCTTCTAGCGCCAGACGGGGCCTGTCCTATGAGCCCTGAATAGTTCTGGACAAGCTGCATCTTCTCTTGGCTGCCCTTCCCCCCTCTGCACCCACACAGCCACAGACAAGCCCACCTCAGTGCACAAGAGGAAGTGTGGACAGGCCATCCTATGTACCCTTCAGGGGACACCCAGCGGAGGGTGGGTGGAGGCTGAAATCCAGGCCACATTCCCCTTGTCAAACCTGCTACCCAGGGGCTGTTTCTTCTGAGACAGGTGCTCCTCTCTGATTCAAAGGGATGCTTTAGGCTAACTATGGCCCAAATGTGTGTGTGTGTGTGTGTGTGTGTGTGTGTGTGTGTGTGTGTGTGTGTGTAAGAGAGAGAGACAGAGACAGGGAGAGGGACAGAGACAGAGACAGAGAGAGAAAGAGCGATCCATGGATTCTTCTGCCAGCATCAGGCAGAATCCAATGGAATTGTGTCTCTCCCCTTTTAAAAACCCCTCGAGCTCCTCCTTTGCTGCTTCTTTGCTGTGATGCTTATTTCGGCCTGAAGTCAGTGCCCTGCCTTAAAATGTTGGGGACAGGAAGAGAAGGCAATTAAAGGAGTCATTAGCTTCAGGCCATGTTTCCCTGTGGACTCCCTGTGAAGGCTTCCCCTTAGCAGACCCCATGAGGAGGAATCTTTAAGGAAGGAATCCACAGCATGGAGACACGGGGACACCGCGTCGCCATGCTGCGGTGCTGACTACAGACTTGAAAATGAGCACAAGAAAACGTTTCTTTGTACTTTTTTCCTACTCGTTTGACATGTGGTTGTAACTAAACCTGAGTGAGGAAATGAGGGCCCTCACCTCCGTTACTTCAGAGCAAGTGTGGGGACCACATGGGTCAGACACCTTCAGACTGGGCCCCACATTGATTCCTTTTCCTTAAGAACCAGAGTGGTCAATCTCTGATGACAGCAGGAGAACCACTGATGAAGGGGGACAAGTGCGGGACTGACAGGGCAGGAAAAGAGGTGCCCTCTTGTGATCGTATTTTCAAAATGCCCAGGAAGGTCTGGAAATGTCCACCAAGCCTGTGATGTGAAAGCTGTGATGCTAATTTATCCAAATGAGATGGGCTTTGCTTCTGGAGGAAATTCTAGAAGAACTTAAGGGGGCATGGATGGACATTTCTGGTGTCTGTCTCCATGCTACTTACACTCACCATGGCCTTAGATGAGGTGGTTGCCACCTAGATTTCTAGCATTTGACTCGTGGGCAGTAATTTAAACAAAGTCTAGGTTACCGAGGAAATAACCTGGTTTCCAACACCGGCTCGACTTGGGCCAGTATCTGAAACAGACACCGGAACTATTACCCCAATGTGCAACAGAAAGCAAGGCTGAGGGGCCATGCCTCATTATCAACGCTCATAATGAGAGCAGCACACAGGTATGCTTCCTGTTAAAGGAGGGGGCAGTGGTGGCAGCCAAATTAGTTATTAAGCTAATGTAATCACAGTCTAAGTGAGCGTGATCAGTCCACTCAACATGGCAGCTTGTTGAAAGAAGTGGAGCTGGTATTAGGAGTAAGTCTCTCCTTGTTGGCCAACTCTTCATTCGAGAAGAATCATGCTGTGGTGTCTCATTTTGTAGCTTTTCCACAGGTTGTAGACAGGTTTTTGCAGGTTAAAACTTTAACTCAAGTATCCTATACTGGTTTTGCCTGATTAGAAATTTTTGAACTTGGACTTGGTCAGAAGCCTAAAGGCTACACATGAACTAGTTAGGTAGATTGTAAAAATGGTTAAGATCTTGTATAATAAAGAAAACAGAGCTCAGTGTCTTCTGTTTATGTAAGGCTTGTTACTCATATTACACTAGAGGCAAATCGGTGTTCAGTTTTTAAGTGATGAAAATGAAATTATAAACTGTTGGGGGTGGCATATGTTATTTACAATCTTTATTTTGAAAGATGTTTAAGACAGGAAAAAAATGAGAATTATTTTTCTGGTCTTACCAGCCCACAGATAAATGGGGTAAGAACATGTGTCCTGAGAAAGAAATTTTTTTTTTTCTGAAGCCATAAAATATACTTTTAGCTCTGGAGAGGGTGGGAAGGCAAGGAGGTCTTTGGTAACACAGGACAGAGTTAGATCAAAGTGGAGGATTTAATGAGAATTTACTCAGAATTACAACTAGAGTTCTGGAACATTTTACCGTTGTCTATATTATCTAAACATGGAGAGATCATACAAATTCAATAACTAATATCGGAGAGCATCAAATATATACACTGCTTATTGAAAACTGTTTAAGAAATTATTCTCATCCAAGAGTCAGTAGACAGTCTTTTTGGCAGAGCTCTTCTGTTTTTGAAGAGAAAAGTCTATGAAAGACAGAGATAGGGTATCTGCCGCACTCACGTCTCTCCTCTCATCTCCAACCCCCAGCCCCACCCTGGTGGCACCCCACATCTAGAGCACTCTCCCTCCCGGGGACATCTCTTGGTAGAGGGTGGGGCCGACTGAATGTAGTCCTGGTCTGATTGGCCAAGGGCAGGGCACACAGGCAGTGGTCTGATTGGCCAGGAATGGGGTCAAGTGATGGTGGTCTGATTAGCCAGGGCAGGGCCACTCCCACACAAACATTACCAGGTAGATTCAAACAGGAGCCATCTGTGTTAAGTGTTTTGGCAATCTTCAAGTAATTGTATTCTTTCTCAACAAACATTTTTTTTTTTTTACCATTTGTTATTCCAGCTCCATTCTTACCCTTTATCTAGAATTTGTGATTTTGTGGCCAACAGGAGTGAGGAAGGTAGATTTCGTGGCTCCTTGGGAGGGTTTGTTTGGATGGCACTTAGTCAAATTTAGCAGAGGGCATGCTGATGTAGATTACACCATCGGTGGTGGAAGAGGGTCAGCAGACCTAGGTTGATTGTTTCTGCCCCTACCAACTGGCCTATGACTTGGCTAGTCGGTTTCCTCTTGTATCATTATGGGTTGCACTGTGTGGTTTCTCAGGGTGTTATGGTTCTGAGATTCCATCAAAAATGTCCTCGCATCCTTTGGCGGGGGTCTACAGGTTTGCTAGCTAGCCTTACCGCTCACAGAATGCCGTATTTGTATCTTCTTAAGGGATTTAGGATGTCCTAGCTAATGAACATTCACCCCTGCTACCAACTTACTCTCTATACTCTGCAGCCCGCCGCCTTGTCCTCCATAGCCATTCGGGGTGTCTGCTTATTCGAGAGGCCGTAAGTGTAAAGGTTTAGCCTGTAGACTGAGCCACATTACCTGGGTTGAATTCTGGGGTTGTTCCTTCCTGCCTATGTGACCTTGGGCAAGTTACTTCGCTGCTGTGGGTTTCCATTTCTTCATCTGTAAAGTGGGGACAATAATAGTACCTACTCATAAGACTGTCATGAAGACTAAATGAATTTATTTTCTCTCTTCCCCACGGGAACGGAAACTTCATGAGGCAGGGACTTGTTGAATAAATGAATGAGTGAATGAATGAACAAATGAATGCCTGATATTTCTTTGGCACTCTATCCCAAGGAATTTATTTTTATAATACTCCTGCGAAGAAGCTTTAACCTGTCCTCGGATTATCCTACTTTGCAGCCGAGGCCCAAATTCCCTATTTGTGAACTTGAGCTCACACTGTTCTGGGCTGGCCCCTGCCTACTCTCCCTTCCCAGCCCAACTTACACCCAACTCAAGTGTGGGCTCCACCCAGGGCCAATAAATACATTTTAAGGAGAGAATGTCAAATTGTAGAGGACTCTGGGAACAACTGGAGGCATTTGAATATAGTCTAGATCTTAGAGATTATTAAGAGATTACTAAAATTCTGTTGGGTGTATTGATGGTGTTGTGATCCTGCAGGAGATTTCCTTGACCTTTAAAGATGCTCACTGAGGTGTTTAGGGATGAAATGTTATGAAGTCTGGGACTTAAAATACTTTAGCGATAAATAAATATGTAAAGCAAGCAAGCATGGCAAAGTGTTAGCAATTGGGACATCCAGGCATTGGGTACACCTAGGGTAATTATACTATGCCCTCTACTTTTCTGTATGTGTGAACGTCTTCATAATAAAACATCCAGTGAATGAAGGATGAACGAGTGAATGCACAGACCTGAGTGTCCTGTGCTGCCATATTTGTGAGCATCCCTAAGGAGGCCCCGGAGCCTCTCTGTGATGGTGGACAGGTGACCAGTTCTCTGTCCCTGTGCTGTGCAGGATTTCCCTGGAAGACCTGAGCCCGAGTGTAGTGCTGCACATGACTGAGAAGCTAGGCTACAAGAACAGCGACGTGATCAACACCGTGCTCTCCAACCGCGCCTGTCATATCCTCGCCGTCTACTTCCTCCTAAATAAGAAACTCGAGCGCTATTTGTCAGGGGTGAGTGGTGCCTTAGCGGCGGTTTCTCTCTGTGGAAAAAAGGAGCTCTTGCACTCAGGGTTTCTCCTCGTTACTGACACTTGATCTAAGCTGTTCATTTCAACTGATGTGAGGCTGAGTTTCCTGAACGTGGGATAAAATAGTAGCAAAACCTGCTTCTCAGGTAACTAGCGCTTTTTATCTGAGGTGTTTTTCCAATATTCTCCTACAGAGTTAAGCCCTGGGCAGACTTGTGAAAGATTCAAGCCTCTTTTCCCTTCAGCTTCTCTCTGCTGTTTTCTGTTCTGTTTACCTCTTAGCTCTTTGGGTTTCCTCTGTTAAAAGCGTTGGGGACTTGTGTGGTCGTAAAAGTTGGGGAGCAGTGCCTCTCAGGCAGTTATCTCTAAAGCATGGTATTGGAGAAAGCCTCTATTGACATTTACATTTCCAGAAAATACGAATGAAATTGAACTTCACTAGCTTGACCCTGATCCCTTCTCTCAGTCTGGGCATCAGAGAGTCCAGGTGGCCTGGGCCACATATGAGGTACAGCTGAGAGTCCCACATCCTGGGGTAAACAGCAGTACCCTCGTGCCTTGGTCACCTTCAACCTTCTGCCACAAGTAGTGCACACGTGGCTAGGTAAGGGAATTTACATGCTTTGGTATCTAGGATTTTGTGTTTTGACTAAATCATCTCTCTCCAAATGGACAATGGCTTAAAAATAATTTTGCAAAGAAAATTAGATCAAAGGCAGTATGGACTCTGCATATCACTCTTCCTGTTTCTCCTACTCAGAATGGTGGTGGTGGTGGTGGTGGTGGTGG